AAGGGAGAAATCCCGGTCGGTTTGCGCCCGGCCAATTGCCGTGTTCTGATTTATTTATCTTCTATTTGAAAACTCTAAAATCTGAAAACTCTGCTAAAAAAGCTGAAATCAAGGTGTAAGGCTTGATTAATCTAATTCTCACTTGTAAAACCTTACAATTCCTTTGCTGGAGAAACCCCGAAATCGGAAGCTGCTGTAAACTTTAATGCAGGATTTAAACAGGAAGAATCGGTCACCAGGTCTGAGGAAGAAGAAAAAGCATCGACGCCAGGACCTGTGGTGAACAGCATGCCAGTGCCAATTTCACTCTCTTTCTCAGGGTGCACTTTTTGCCCAGGAAACTATGTTTTCAAAATCCGAAAGTAAAATAAAAAATATTGAATGTCATTCTGAGGTTATGTGGATATGATAAATGGCGGTTATGGGCATCTCTATGCTGACAAAGAGGTGATGTTTACAATACTCATTTTTATTGTATGTGATGTGCTCTTCTTTATGTAATTTTCACTTTCCTTCTGCTTATAGATTTGTGATTTCGAGCTCTTTTGTCATGTGTTTTTTTTCCTGGATTGACAAGAAATTGTATTGGTGTCAAGTGCGAATAATCCCAATCTCAAAAGAAAGGTGAGGAAGCCTGGGAAAGATGTAGCCTTCATTTGGAGCCTTCATCCCTGCATTGTTTTGTATATAAACTGTGTACTCTGGTATTGCATCAGTTTGGGTGGAAATCTTGTAGAGTTGAAAATTTGTGGACTTTTTATAGATATTTTATTTTATTTCTTATACATCATGTACTGTATATTGAATATTAAGATTGAAAATGAAATATCACTATATATAACTGGATTTAGACTTCTTTGATAATTTTGAATTTTTTAAATACCATTGCCTTCTGTAGTTTTCAAACTAGGTTTTTCTGATATGAAAATTCCTTTTAGGGATTTTTGTACCTACCAGATTTTTGGACCTTGCAAGATTTTTGGGCCTACGGGATTTTTGGGCCGAGGGATTTTTTCTCCCACAGGATTTTCTCCTGCACCCCAGCAATGAGAATGATGCAATTAACTCTTGGTACAACAAACTTTGATTGACCAACAAAGAAATCGTTGCAGTCATAACCAATCAGGTATCCATATTATCATAATTTAAAAGAATAAAACAATTTAAAACATTTGCCTGAAATAGGAGATTTGTTGCTGCATGTAAATTTTAAAAGTCTCTTTATTGTGATATATTCTGTCATACTTGTACGCAAAGCATTTTCAAAATGCAATTTAATTTCCAAGAAAATTACAGAGTAATAAAAATCTTCCAATATTCACACAGGAATGCAATACAATACAGGTCCTACTGTATACTAAAAAAAAATTAAATACTGTATTTTTGCATGGGTTCCGTCGAAGACAGAGAGGCAAACAAAATTTCAGAGAATTTCAAAATATTTTATTGACAATGGAGCAAAAGCAAAAGAAAAACTTATTCGTTGCACTCAGAAAATTTTGACGCAAACGTATTTTATGACAAGTTCAAAAATAGGTTCATTGCTGTTTAGGATGATGTATAGTTCTAAACCATAGGATGATGCATTGTTCTAAACTATGGCAAGATGAAGGAAATACATAAGAGGATAATGAGATAAAAATGCCAGTCTTTTGAACCAGTCATAAAAACCATGAATTTCATCATCCTACACATCAATGAACCTATTTTTGAACTTTTCATAAAATACTTTTGCGTCAAAATTTTCTGAGCGCAACGAATAAGTTTTTCTGGCAGAATGAAATAATTCTAGCCAGTAAAGTTCATTCAGTCTTGGAGAGTCTTCAAATTTTCCCAAATTCAGAAGGAATGGGTGAGAAGGGGGAAAAGCGACGAGTACAATCTACGGGGCTCCGGATTTTTTGAGGCACCTGTAGTGCGGATTTTTACTAAAATATTGTTGGCAAGACTGGCAATAGACCCCAACCTCCATGGGTGTAGTCCAAAATCCCCCCCCCCCTGCCAAAAGTCCCCCTAGGTCAAAAGCCCTAGGTCAACTGTGAGAACATATATATTTGGCACACATCTTCTTTGATTGGTGTAAAAAAATTGTCTTGACCTTGCCCCAGTTCCAAGATTTGATGAATATAATTTGAATGAACTCTTTGTTGATGACAAGGAAAATTAAAACGTTTCCATATTGTACTTGTGTACCTTCCGTATATGCCTTTTGTATTGTACATGAAAAATACCTGAATTATTGGAGATTATTATTGTGTTGTACTTGTAATAAATGTCATGGAATTGCAAGTGGATGATGAAAAAATCATTGCAGTTGAGGGGGGAGCTGTAGAAACATACTATACAAAAATTTTTAGGAGTACATTATAACAGAAGTAAATGCAGGTCCCAAAAAACAGAGCATGATTAACAATGCGCCTGGTATTTAGAGAAGGAACCGAGCAAAAACAAGACCCCCTCCCAGCCTCCTGGCATCCTGGCAAAGGACCAGACGGTTTAATCCCTTCCAGTTGAACAATGTGGGATAATATAGTAGGAAACCATTCCTAGGACCGTTTTCAACCTGCCTGGTTAACGGGGTACCCCTTCAGAGGCTTAATCTACCACTGAGAAAAAAGAAATAATCAGGCATAATGAAAAGTTGAGGCCAAAATAGCCTTTCTTTAATTCCACCAATGTTCCCTTCGCGTCCTTCAAGTTGAGCTTTCTTTTCCCAGCAAAGGGGCTTTATATACTGCGTGGAACCTCTTCATTTTCACACATGGATTTTTGTGTATTCTAGGGGAATGTTCTGCTATTTTCGCTCCAGTGCATCTCTTTCATGTATGCAATGAGCGAGATTTAATTTACGTTGTGTGATTGCGGTTTCTGGGTAGTGTTGCTCTTGAAAATCGCGAGTTATGTCATTCCGAAAAGTGCCATTCAAATAATTCAATCATGAAAATATTTTTATATTTTTAAAAATTGATTTTATAAAAACAACAGTGCCTTCTTTTTATCCGGAAAATGACCTGATAAAATGAAAAGATACAAATTGGGAATAGTTTCAATGATCGAAGTAGATATATCTATATTCAATTCCTTATCTTATTTTAACAAATGCAGTACTATATATGTCTCAAAATCAATATCTTTGTACTTGATTTATTTCTGTTGCACTCGTATGTGTATATACAGTATTTATTCTGCGTGCTCCACACGAATAACGCGCCCTTAATTTCATTAGTCTGATATAATTTTTGTTGTTGAGATTAGCATTTCTTCATTATTGTATCCCTCTATATTTATTAGATATACCTTTACTTAGTGGCCATGGAACATCAGAAATACCGATTGTGCCTTACAAGGGGAAATCAATGTAATTCCGAGTATTGCGGACGAGAAGTCATCGTGGGGCTCTCACAAATTCCATTTGAAAATATGCCCGAGGAATTCTGGAAGAAATTCCCGCGGAAGGATGCATTACATTTAGAAAAGAGTGGTTCCCAGGTAAGAGGAAAATTTGAAGATATTTCGTTCTAAGTAATTCGACCTGTGCGATAAACGAATAACGCATTTAGTGAGTTCGAATATTTCATGTGTACAGTACTGTAATTGGCTTGTACAATAGGCGACATCTGAAAGTACCATAGTGAAACAATATGTTTCACCGAACCAATGATAGGTTGCCAGTTCATTCCACTCACAAGAGATGTCGCTCGCGTAAGGGATTCGAATATCACGCGAAAACTCCATACTCATAATAATTTTTTTCACGTCTAATTCGCTTATAAAGTAATTTGTTTTTCAAATGAAGTGATGCATTGTTATCTTTTATTTAGCGAAGATCCGAGGTAGAAGAGCAGCTATTAGCCTGGGGATTTCGAATAGAAGCTATGTTTTCCGATGGATACGCAGCAGATGATATGATGTGTGACGATGAAAGACGAATATGGTCTGATTCTTCATACAGCTTGCTGTATAAAACAGCAGTTAAACTTCTTCCAGACGAACAGTTGGTACACTCTGAGATCATTTTCCTGTGTCGGAAAACAAACCGCAAGGAGTTGCAGCAGCATCAGCAACTCCCCAACAAAGTTCCCTGCAGCGAAGTAAAATCCCTAGGCGATTCTTTTTCAGCAATTATGACCACCGAGACCGCGGAGGAATCCTCAACGCAGAAGGAACCCGTCGCCCCATCTACCGGGAAAACACCTGATGAATGCTCAGAAACTGCTGCTGATGCGGAAACGAAGCAGGAACAACAACCGGCCTCATCTGCTACAGCAGAAGAAGTAATAATCCCAAGAACTGAAGCTGCAGGTGTGACGACGTCGCCAGTCACGGTTTCCCTCGCGTTTACCGCCTGTACTTTTGCCCCTGGAACTTTTGTTTTCAATTTCAATTAATACAATGCAAGGGAAAATGGTTGCGCATCCGAAATTATGGTGGTGACGGGTTTTTGGACGGATGACATCTTGCTTAATTTTCATCATCATAAACGATAGTTCATGAAATCTTGCGATTTTGTTTGTGCTCCATTCCTCCTCTGATCGTCAGTTTCGATCCTGTGTGAGTGTGATTTCCCTTTTTTGTGTGCATATATTTCCACAACGATGAAAAAGAATGTTTAATAAATCACCATGATGGAATTTTACTTGAATCATTCATTCCGCAAATACTGAACATCATTCAAGCATGAAAAATCAAACAAACTTTCAGCAATTTAGAATTCGCCTCCATGATAACGTTTCCATAGCGTAGTTGAAGTCCATTGACATTGTTTCAGCCAATTATCAGAATATAAAAAGAGGAGATCCATTATGAATAGAATCTATCGCATCAGTATCAAGAAAAATTACAACAGTACAGTACAGCTTTTACAAATGCAATCATTCATATTTTAGCGTATATTCGATAAGAGGAAGGTAACTTGGATCAAAAAATTTTTAAATTGCGGGAACCGGAAAACCAACATGAGAGGATTCGTCTTATTTCAATGCTTCATTCAAATTTTTATTTTTAGTGAAATAATCTCGCATAATGTACTTTTTAAATGGATTTGAGCCCATGATGAATGAAGTATTCATTACGGGATAAATTGTCAAAGTAAGATTAACTTCCATTAACAAGACACAAGAACGCCATTGGCATTACTGATTTATTTTTTAAGTACTTTAACTGCCTTTTTAAAATTTAGCCAAGCTTTGTACCGGTAATAAGGGCTTTATTACACTTAAAAAAGCCCTTAAAACCATCAAATTTTGCTGTAGGGTAATTTTTAAACGCACTCCAGAATTTACAAATATACTGGTAACGCAAGTAATAAAACTGATCCATTCCTGGATGCATTCGGTTACATAGAATTTTTGTTACACCAAACGCCATTTCGCAGGAAGATTGTAAATACGGTAATTTGCATTTTGAAAATAGACCATTCAACACTTCCTTGAATCCAGCATGACCTGGTAAGGTATTCATAACTTTCTGGATTTTGAAAATTTCAAAAACAAGGAGTACAAAATTAACTATACACCCTACTTTTTCAGTCAATCTGATGTATGGAAAATTTCAAGCTTAGAGTTCAAAATTTTTGAAATTCGAATTTTCAATCCGAAATTTTCGTCATAAGGGTCTTTTGTTATGCGGAGGCTGGTGATGGAACAGCAGACGCAGCATTAATTTGTGCTTGATGTATACAGACCCTGTTTATACTGTTGCAAAGGTTATATGAGATCTGGATTTTTGGACTAGGTCAAATTCCATGTCAAGATATGCACCAGGAATTCTGGAAATAAAAATCGCACTGTAAAATGTAAAAAATAAATAAATAAAATTTGTCTAGACACATTTTGCGTTATGTAACAGACTTATTGAAGTGGAACTGATTTTGTATTCAGGCATCTTCGTAGTTTTTTTTCTGCGCCACACTGAAATATATTTAAATTGGATGTGAATGAAAATAGCAATAATTCAGAATTAGAAAAATGAAAACTATTCATTTCAAATTGAACCAGCAAAGAGTTTCTCATCCCCCCACAGATTTGCATCACAGAAACTAGCAAATGCAACACGTTTCTCAATCAATAGAAAATCACCAACTTATTTGAGAGCAAGTATGAAAAAAAAATGTAACAACAAAGTGGCTTTGGTTATTTACTTCAGGTCAGAACATTTTAGAAATTTAAGATCTTATGAAATGATTGTTTACTTTTTCTTATCAAACGTGGCTCATAATACCGTCTCTCTTTGCTTTTTGATTCCCTCATAGCATTACAGTATACAGAAAAATGCCACTACTGTACTTATTTGATTCATCCACTCAATATTTGTGTCCCACTTGATTTTACAGACTTGATAAATGTACAACACTATCACGTTAACTTCGTCTTCAGGAGCTTTCTCTCATTGGGCAAAGGGCTTCACAAACAGCATCTGCTTTCCGCCAAAAGGGCTGATTTAGAGTTAAGTTCCTGGTGTTCGGAATCCAGCATTGTAGTCCAAGAAGCAGGGAAAACCGGCTTGGGCCATGAAGGAGAGAAGCACCATGTGGCGCCAAGCCCTGTGACGTCAGAGACACTGCGGCGAGCGGCTTTCAATAGTAACCATCTAACCACCCCAATTCTTGATTCTTATTACCGGTTTCCGGTTTCATCTGCTGGCAAAGTTTGAAGGCCAGCGAAAAGCGGGCCTCCAGGAAACAGAAATCTGTTATCCAATCCACGTAAGGGCTGAAAAACAATCGAGGATGAAAATCCGGAAAGAGCGCGCCACCAGAGCTCAGGGTAAATCCCGAAAACATGAAAACTTCGTCATTCGGCCTCAGGAGACCGGAGAAATTATTTGTGTCCGTTTGCGAAGGAAACTGTTCGTGATGTACAGTTGTATGCATATTTTCGGGAACAGTGTCAGTGACCGAACTTATGGCTTCTAATTTTTGTGTTGCTATAGTTCTGGGAAATCTTTTATTTCAAGTAACAGAAATGAAAAGCACTATTTTGTAATTCAGTCCTTATTAACCGAGGTCGGGCTGATGGTAACCCAGCAGCTGATTTTCGAGTTCTTTCTTTCTTCATTTTTGAGCAGCAAAGTTATTCAGAAAAGTTGAACTTCCTTGCGGAATTCTTCAACTTTCTTGACAAGTGCACTTGCATTCCCTCAATGTTTATGGATAGCTGAATCACTATGCTTGGGGCTGTCGTTCCAAATACTGTAGTGTCTTAACAAAGACGGAGTGCGAAACACGTTTGTGAGAGTATCATTGAATTCCTTTGAACAAGATTTCATTGCCTTTGCATGCGTGATTATATGATCCGAAACGAGGCGTAGTTATGATAAATTTCGGAAATCGATAGACTCTTCAATTTTTTCGTGGTAAAAAGAACTCGATTCTTCCTGTTTTTTGAGTAATATAACGAGGCGATATTCTGTGCAGTTGAGAAGGTAGTAATTAGATTGCAGTACCTGCGATTTTTCATAAACGAAACTATTGAGAACGGGATCTTAAAATTTGCCGAAGAACTTATTGTTTTGCCTGCCGATGAACTTCATCTATAAGTGAGTGATCTTAATTTCGTGTGCGACGAAAGGCCTTTCTTTTAATCCGCAAATTTTCGTTTTGCGTCCTTCGTCTTAATCAAATCAAGCAATCCTTTTCTCAGGAAAGGGATTTACATACTGCATTGTGTTCCTTTTCCCACACCAGATCTTTTGTTGCATTATATAGTGGAAGGGCAAGTCCTTTTTTTCACTAAATATAAGTGAGAATGAGGCATGTATACGTGATTTTTCGCGTAGAGAGATGGCCTGTTACTGTTTTTTGCTGACCAAGAAAAAACAAGAATTTTCCACTTTTTTTTTTCAAAAATAATTCGAATTTCTCTGGCGTCGGTGGTTTAATAATGCATTGTTTAGAAGGCACCCATCATTCGTTGATTTCCATACACTTCTACTTTCAGATCGATTTTTTTTCATTCTCTGGTCATGAAGGGAACGTTGAATTTGTGCTTGATGAAAACAACCAAGCAAGAGGATTTGGAAATTATAGTTTTCGGTCTTTCAAAAATTCCAATTCAAAGCATGCCCGAGGACTTCTGGAAACAATTCCCACGGGAGGATCCACTAATTTTTGACATACCAAAACTGGTGAGAGAAAAATTTTGAAACTTTCATCTTCTAAATTAATGCTGTGTGAACTAAACAAATGTCGTGATTCGAGATATAGATAAAACAGCTCTAAATTTCGCGAGCTGTCATGAAGCAGCATCTTGTATTATTGAAGATAATCAAGGTGTCGCATGCTGGTCCCTTTTTGGTTCATAGATGTCACTTGTCCAGGCGGCATAAGTGGCCAGCTTTTTTAAAATTGCACGATCATATTTTTTCAACGGGTTTTAATTTGCTTTTGTTCATTAATTCACTGGAGTTATCCATTATCTGCTCCTCCTTTCAGCCACCATACTATGCACGCCCGTACGTGTGGAAAACGCTTTTAGCATGGGGTTTTCGGGAGGAACCCTTGGTGGAAGAAACATTGCAGCTTGAATCCATGACTCTTTCAAGGATGAAGACGCAGGATGGCTGGTTATACGGTACTCCGGACTATGTACGGTTTCCGACGATGATGAAATATTTCTCAGACCCCCATGCTGGTGATTGGGGATACCGCCCGCTCTTGTACCTTTATCGGGAAACAGCCGACGACGGGGTCCGAATGCCGATGCCAATTCCAGAAATGACGGCATCCTGCGAAGCAGGAACCGTGACACCTGGCATTGAACCATCAGCAACAATCAACAGTCGTGATAAAGCCAGTCAACCTACAGTGAAACAAGAGGAATGTGACACTCCATCTACCCCAGAAACACCGCAGGTGGAACCTTCATTAGCAGAACTTGGGCTGGAAGAATCGCAACCTATTGGATCGATAGTTTTTACCAACTGCATTTTCTCCCCTGGGACCTACGTTTTGAAAATTCAGAAGTGAAAAATCATGTCCCCCTGAAATATGAGTTGACTCGGGTATACTGAATTTTTCCATCGATGTGTTATGTCGTTGAATGTCTGCTGCTTTACTTGAGATTCTTCACCCATTTTGCGTTTGAAAATGAGCTGACAATGCCGATGTTTTCTTTTGCGTGTAATATTTTCGTGTAATCGCCAGTTTTGAATATATGTGAAAATAAGGTTCGTCTCTTTTGTTGTCTGTTCATTTTGTCGCGATGATAACAGCATTGGCTTATGGAAAAGTGCTTAAAATCAATACACGTGCTTCGTAAGATTGAAATAAAATTATAAAAATAAGATATTTTTTTGCGTAAAATTGTACCGCTTCTCTAGTTCTCTGTACTGAAATTGAACTACCTTTTTGCATGGAATTCTCCTAACTGGGGTTGCAATACAGCAAAACTATAAAATATTTTGTGAAACTAAAAGGTTGACGGATTTTTCATCAGAATTCAAGACAGAATTCCGTATTGGTTTTTTTTAAGATTCAGGAATTAAGCTGATCAGTAGACAATATAATTGAATGAAATGACGATTTGAATTGTCGAAAATGTACTCGATTATACGGGCTGCTGCCTTAATTGGATTGAAGACAGTCCACGTTTCTGGAGGAAAAGGTGGAAAAGAACAGAAGGTTCAATCTGGGGAAAACTGGGGACCTTTTTTTTTTTTAATCTGCGCAATAACCCAGTGATGGTGGGTGCGCAAAAAGGCGCAGCGGGTTTCGCGCGCAGATTTGCCGAGATTCTCAGGACGCAAACCTGGAGAAAGATTTTTATTGGGTGTGTAATAAAAATTTCTAAAACTGAAAATTCCCTCTTGTTTCTGATCCAAATTTTTTATTTGTGTGCGCTAAACGTTGTAAACATGCAGTTGTATAAACTAACAATATTTAGAGCAGCAAAGCGCTCCTATATATGCTTAACATCAGCTTTTTAATGTTTTTTTGATTTATTTTATATTCTATTTTCTTGCTGCAATCATTTTGTCACTTCCACTTTCCAAAAGGTAGAGATTCGTGTCCATACACTGTAGTGTTATTAATCAAAATAATGATAATAAAACTCCAATGTAAATCCCAGAAAAACCATTCTAAGCACTGGATTCTCCGCATTGCAGACTTGGACGAAAAAATCAGTGGCAACATTAATAAAAATCTCACAAATGATCACGCAGAAGAATAATTAATGCAGATAATCTGTGAGGGTACCCACAAAATTTAATTGTTCAACTTTCAAGTGCGTCAGATGTGTGGAAGTGACTTCCGAACAAACCTGAACCTTCGTCGTCGTCCTCGTGAGGGTTTTATAAGGGTTGGCAACAATCGAAGTACACGCAGAAAAAAAGTCAAGACCCGAATATTATTTATCATTCATGGGCATGCTCAAGAGGTGATGTTATTTGCAATGCTCATTTTTATTTAATGTGCGCTCTTCTTTATGTATATATAATTCGCACTTTCCAGCATAAATAAATGGGATTTCGCACTTTTTTGGGCATGTGTTTATTTACTACTAAATTCAGAAGATTTTGTATTAGCGTCGTCGAATGCAAAAGTTATGTTACCTCTTTTGATGATCAATCTACTAGTCAAATGCTCCATTTAATCATGACCAGAGTGGGTTATTTCCAATACTGTATTGGTATAGATCTGAATGCGCTGACTTTATAAATAAAATATTTGCGGAATGATCCTTTTCAGCGATGAGATGGATGGTGCAATTAAACCTTGATACAATAAACTTCTATTAAACAAAGAACGAATTGTCAAAATCATGACGAATCAGGAATCAGTTATTTTCAGATTATCAAAATTTAAAACATTTTCCTGAAGTCTCGTGTGATATTCTGACATGCTTGTACCCAAAGCATTTTCAAAATGCAGTTTATTATCCCAAAAAATCTTTCAATATCCACACAAAATTCAATACAGGTACTAGTACAATATACAGATTATTGACATATTGCAGGTGCAAAAGCAAAAGACAAATTCATTGGTTGCACTGAAAATGTTTGCAAAAATATTCTACAAGTTCAAAAATAGCTTCACTCTTTTTTTGATCCACCTACGCTGTATATGATGATGAAATCCAGGGTTTTTATGCCTGGCTCAGAACATTAGCAATTCTTTTAAATATCCGCTTGATACATTTCCTTCAATTTGGCATATTTTAGATGCTTAATCTACCGCTGAGAAAGACGAAACAAGGCATGGATTTCCTATGAAAAGTTAAGACCTTAAGACTTTGCCCTTTCTTTTAATCCGCGAATGTTTGTTTTGCGTCCTTCAAATTAAGCTTGGTTTTTTCCCCGCGAAGGGCTTCAAATATATATTGCATCTACTCTTCACTTTCAGATATCCACACATGCTGTTGCCTTAGGAGAAGGTGTCGCTCTTTTCGTTCTAGTGCATCTCTTTCGTGTTTGCAGTTAACAAGGTCTAAATTACGTCGTGTGACTCGCGGTATTGTTAGGAACAGTGTCATTTCGAAAAATTGCGAGTTATCTCATTGGGATAAGTGCCATTCAAATAAATCAATCACCTGAATCTCGTAAAATTTATAAAACTTAAGTCATAAAAATAACAGTGCCTTTTTTCATCCGGAAAATGATCCTATAAAATATTATTTATTTTGAAGAATGTATGTTTATCTGCTAATTTAACTATTGTTTGAGTGTAAACAACTTTTTCATATATTTTCTCGAATTATTTCTTTGTATAACGAGCTATTAATGATCTTGTATACATGTATTGGCAGAAATATACAGCAGTATATGATTATACAGTATATGAAATATATATGAACATCCACAGTTTTTGGATCGCAGTTATACTTGAACGCACAATATTGTGTTTCCTAATCGTTTTCACTGCGTCATGTGGATACAAAATGGCATATTATGCATTGAAGGCATTGGATTTTTTTTAAGAGAAAACTGTAATAGTTTCAATGCTTTATGAAGAACTGTTGAAGATATCTCTATGTTTGATTCCGCATCTTGTTCTGACGAGTTTAGTACTGCTGTGTGTCTGTCAAAATCAATTCACTGCTGTATTTATACTTACACTGGCCCGATACGCGGAACGCACCCGTAATTTTATTAGTTTATATAATTTTTGGTGGAGATGAGATTAGCATTTCGTAATTATTTTATCCGTTTTTATTTAGATATAATTTTACTTAGCGGTCATGAAACAGGAGACGCACCGATTGTGCCTGATAAGGGGAAATCCCCATGTTTTTGAGTATTGCGGACGAGATGTCATCTTTGGGCTATCACAGCAAATTCCACCCCAAAATATGCCCTCGGAGTTCTGGAAAAAATTCCCACGGAAGGATCCACTACGTTTAGAGAACACTGGTTCAGAGGTAAGTGAAGAATTCACAGATTTTACGTTCTAAATAATTTCACGAGTGCAATTAACACGAATAACGCATTCAGTGAGTCGAATGTCTTGAATGTAAACGGCTCATATCATCGGGCGACACCTGAAAGTACTGTAACGAAACAATATGTTAGACCAAACCAATGCTATCGGTAGCTAGTTCATTCCGCTTAAAAGAGATGTCGCTCGTGTGTGCGTCTCAAACGTCAAGTGGAAGCAATAGAGACTGCATGTACTGTATTTATACATTTTTGACGTGAAATTTGATCTTAAAATTTAGTTGGTGCATTGTTTCCCTTCATTCAGCAAAGATCCGAGGTGCAAGAGCAGCTATTCACTTGGGGGTTTCGAATGGAAGCTATGTTTACTGATACAAGCGCAGATGATACAATGTATGATAGTAATCCCCATCAGAACTGGAGCTGGTGTGACGTCGCCAGTCACGGTTTCGCTCTCTTTTCCCGCCTGTACTTTCGCCCCCCAAACTTTTGTTTTCAATTTTAATCAGTAAAATAAAATAAACATGAATCCGTTATCCGAAAATATGCTGGTGGAGGGTTTCTAAACATGAATCTCACTTGTTTTTTGCTCATTATACATGGTAGTTCATGGTTCTCAAATTTTCTGGGTGCTCCGTTCCTCGTCTGATTGACAGTTTCCTGATGCATGAATGTGATTTGGCATTTTTGTGTGCATATTTCCTCAACAATGAGAAAGAATGTTTAATAAAGCACGATTATGGAATTTTACTTGATATCATTATTTCCAGAAATACTCCGCCTTATTTCAACAATTGAAAATATTATGACGAATTTTCGGCAGTTTTTAATTCACCTCCATGTCAACGTTTCCAACGTTCAAGTCCATTGACAATTCAGCCAACTACCAAAATATTGGAGGAGATTCGTTATGCTAAGAATTTTTATTGCATCTGTATCAAGAAAAATTACAGCAGTACAGTACAGTTTTTACAAATGCGACCATTTACATTTTAGAATTGATTCAAGAACAAGAAAGATAACTTGGAACAACTATTTTTAACAAGTGCGGGAAACCCGCGTGAGAGGATTTGTCTTGTCTTAATGCCTCATTCAAATCTTTATCAATACTGTAGTAAAATAATTATTCTAGCATAATGTACCGTACTTTTTTAATGGAGGTGAACCTATCTTGAATGAAGCATTTATTATACCGTCCTGTAAATTGTCATAACAAGATTAATTCCGATTAACAAGATAATGGCATTGGCAAGACTGTTTTTTCCAATTGGCCTCGCTGAAATTTAGCCAAGTCTTGTGCCGGGAATAAGGGCTTTATATTAAGCCTAATAAAGCCCTACAGAGGCATACTATTTTACTTTAGGGTAATTTAAAACGCACTCTTAGCCTTACTTATAGTGCTGGGTACACAAATAATAAAACTGATCAGTTCATGGTTGCATTGTGTTACCCCTAGGATTTTCGTTATACTAAGAACACCCATTCCCATTAACATAGTAAATAATTTGATTTTTTCAGGCACTGAACAAGCAGACCATTGAATTATTCCTTTCATCATCAGGAAAACAAAATTCACTAAGAAAAATTGAAGTAACACTGACAGTTTCTTTTTCATAACTTTCTGGATTTTGCAAATTTCAAGACCAAAAAATGAAATAAACTACTATATATCCTGCTTTTTCAGTCCAGATGAAATATGAAAAATTCCAAGTTAAGTTCAAAAGTTTTGAAATTTGAGTTCTCCACCAAAAATTTTTTTACATAATGAACCAATGTCATTGAATCCCTTCTTATTCTCAA